TAGCAGTGCGCCACCGGGCCGGCCCATGCCCATCCTTTCTCTATCACTGCAGATAGTTTGTTAAACTCCCTTGTTATACAATTCCTAAACCTTCCTATAGCTTCTGTTTCCAGCACTATATACGAGGAGGCATTTTCTTGATTACTTAGTTCTGTTCCTTTCTTCTAAACTGCAGTATTATGGCCTTTTCCATAGCTCTTCTTAAAAAGGCGGACCAAAAACGAAGATTAAGGGAGGTCTTCTGCAACACAGAAAATAAAACCAGGTAGCACTTTTTTAACACCTTTATTGAGATATGATCTATTTACCAATTAATTCACCCATTCACTGTGTGTAACTCCATGGTTTTTATTCACTAATATGTGCAACTATCACCACAGTCAATTTCACAATATTTTTAGTATCTCAAAAAGAAACAACTCGGGCCGGCTCCATGGCTCACTCGGGAGAGTGTGGTGCTGATAACACCAAGGCCATGGGTTCGGATCCTATATAGGAATGGCTTGTTGGCTCACTGGCTGAGCGTGGTGCTGACAACACCAAGCTAAGGGTTGAGATCCCCTTACTGGTCATCTTTTTTATTAAAGATGACCGGTAAGGGGATCTTAACCCTCGACTTGGTGTTGTCAGCACCACGCTCACCCAGTGAGCGAACCGGCCATCCCTATATGGGATCCGAACCCGTGGCCTTGGTGTTATCAGCACTGCACTCTACCGAGTGAGCCATAGGCCGGCCCATGGGCAAGAGTTCTATATCTTGGTTTCTACATCTGTAAAATGGGGATAGTAATAGTATCTGTCTGAGAGTGATGAAGCTAATGAACTAAAAATACCTGCAGCAGTCTTAGGACAGTGGTGCATAGCAAAGCACTTACATAGAAGTTGTCTATTATTAGTATCTAATTGGGGAGGTGGGATGGAAAGTGAGAAGGACACTGCAAGACAATATCTATTTAGATATTTGCAGTGGTAGAAATTATGAGTTTGGAAAAGAGGAAGAATGATAGTTGGAGCTGGGTGATGAGTAATATTTTTTTCTACTTTAGTAAATGTTTGAAAATTTTTCCATAATAAAAAGCAAAATACACAAAAGAGAAAGAAATTTTTTTAATTAAAAAAAGAAAAAGAAAACAAAAAAAGAGCAAAATACAAATTTAAAAACAGCTTTAATACTTCTGATTATTCTTAGAATACAGTTCAAATTCCCTACAGGCCCTAAATTTTATGGGCCTTGCCTCCCTCTCCAACTTCATCACTTTTCAGCTCCCCATCCCTTTTTTTAATCACTGCACTTTGAGCTACACTCAATTTCTGACAGTTCTTGGAACACAGCAAGCTTCTCTTCAACATTAGGCACAGTACATAGAACAAAATTATGAAGGATGGATGTACCAAGATGTTGAATGCCTTTTCTTCTCCCTTCTGTCTCCTCTCATCCTATCCTTATGTATCTGAATATAGTGCAGGCTAGCAAATTAGCTCAGCTGGTTACAGCCTGCTGTTATAACACCAAGGTCAAGGGTTCAGGTCCCTATACTGGCCAGCCACAAAAAGTAAAACAAAACAAAACACCGATGTAATACTGTTTTGCTAGAGAAATGGCTGATTCTGAGTACTTGGGCAGGGGAAGTACTAGGTGAGCCTGGAGCACATTATTGTGCCAGAAAACAAGGAAGCACTCAAATACTGTGGTTGTGTCAGAAGAACATAGGGACCACCTTGAAGAGGCTACTCCTGGACACCTTTGGCATAATTTGACCATGAAAAAGCAGTGGTAATGGATTATAACACATTGAAAAAATCCATATATTGGGCCGGCCCGTGGCTCACTCGGGAGAGTGCGGTGCTGATAACACCAAGGCCACGGGTTCGGATCCCATATAGGGATGGCCGGTTCGCTCACTGGCTGAGTGTGGTGCTGACAACACCAAGTCAAGGGTTAAGATCCCCTTACCGGTCATCTTTTTTTAAAAAAAAAATCCATATATATCTGTAGTGATACTAAAAAAAGGGGGGCTCTTCTTTACACAATATATCATAGGAATGATATGAATGAATAAATGATGAATTAGAAAATCACCATTTTGGGCCGGCCCGGTGGTGCACTGGATAAGTGCGCCGCTTGGGAAGCGCGGCGGCGCTCCCGCCCGAGGGTTCGGATCCCACATGCAGACCGGTTCCCGCTCACTGGCTGAGCGAGGCGCGGACACGACACTGAGGGTTGCGATCCGTTGCC